GAAAACAACAAAATAAGCTCATATCTGACTCTTTCCAAGTGAAATGCCACATAAGGCAGTTGTCACTAGGCTCAGGTGCCTGGTGACCACAGGGTTCTGAGTTCTGTTTGGCCTTGTTGCCAAGGAAGTGAGGTCATATGCTGGGATCCATAACTGAACTCACCTCTGATAAGAATATGACCCTCTTTATTCAATAGTCTGATTTGATTTTTTTTACCATAATGCCTCTTATCTTCAAAAGAACTTCCCATATCATCAAGCATAATAAAATTGAACAAAACAGTACAGAATAAAACTGATAAAAATGAACACTGGAGACATTATAGGACTACAAAAAAGAAGATAATAGTCAAAGCAGAATGGATAGCATAGTGTATGTTACTGTCTTCAGAGTAGTTCCCTATACCATGAGACGTGATACTATCAAACAAAATAGAATAAATAAAATCAGTCAAAACAAAACAGTGCAAGCAATACAGCACTCAAATGAAGCTAATAGGAAATCAACAATGGTCAGCATAATCTCTCCTGCTATCAATGGAGTAGCTGTCCATGCCATTAAATCTAATAAAAGTAGACAAACTGAAACAGAATAAAAACAAACTACACAAAACAGTGAAAACACTGTGGGTTTCCAATCATGTTTACATGTTCTGGGTGAGTACTGCTAGGGTTGGAGACCAGAGACTGCCTTTGCTTCTTCTTCTTGTTTCTGGTTTCTTCTGGACAAGTGGGTAGTGGGGTCCGCAGCACTTCCTGCATTGGCTATATTTTCTCTGAAGTGAGACTGTTTGCTTTGTCTAGGCCATGCTGGCTAGGCATATCAGATGGTGACCACTGGTTGCACTGGTGTCGGGCTTTGGGTGGCTGGTGCAGTGTTAGCAGAGGCAGGGCAGGCTGGCACCTCCCTTTTGAGCTAGTTAACCACAGGAATCCCTTATCTTGTGTAGTAGTGAGACAGAACTGGTGGGGCCTGGCTTTAGGAAATAGCCAAATCTTGGGAACAACCTAAGTGTCCATCAACTGAGGAATGGATAAAAAGGGTATCTTTATACAAGGGAGTACTACTCAGCTATAAAGAATGATCACATTGATATATTTATAAATAAATGGATGCAACTTGAGACCATACACATAAGCAAAATAAATCAAACTACATATATAAGTACTGTATAGCCTCCCTGGTGTAAGAAATGGTAAGTGTATATAAGAGTTTATACTCATGATTCCCCATTATATTCCTTTGAAGCTTTATAATGGTTTCGTTCATTGGTTGGAATGATTTTATTTTGTTTTGTTTGATTTTATTATCTGTGATGGTATGAACAGATATTTTGAAGGAAACAAGGCATTATAATAGCCAGTGCTAATTTAATATCATCTTGCTTTGAAATCCTACCATGCTTTTGTTCTTCTGTTTCCATTGGTTCTATCATGTTGTATCATATTGGATTTTATCATGTGTGGTAGTATTAACAAAGTTCGTATGGACAATGAGATATTATAGGAACCATTGTTCATTGTGTGTTATTTGGTTCTGAATGCCCTGTAATACTTTCATTCTGTTGAATGGTTTCATAATATTTTATTATGTTTGGTACTCTTATAGTTGAAGGTATGCTCAGCTATTTCAAAGAAAGAGACATTATAGTAGCTACTGTTATATCGGATTGTCATGTGGTGAAATACTCTGTTGCTTAAATTGTTCTGTTCTGATCGGCTTTATTATGTGCTCTTTTGTCCCTTTAAAATAAACAAAATTAAAAAATAAAAAAATTGAGACAGGAAGAAAGGAACAGTGACAAAACTGAAGAATGGATGAGTTCATAAAGCTAAGGAACATTGAGAAATGGATTTTAATAAGGGATCAACAATGCCTTCAGCTAATTTAACCAAATAAACAAATCCCATTATATTGTATGCATTGTGTTTATTTTGCTACAAGTCTATGTAAAATGAAAGTTCTATAATGACATGTAAAAACTTCCCATATTTAAGATCCGAGCAATTGCATAGACATTTGAGAAAATAAAATGTGGATATTCATTTATTGAATGTTTCAGAGAACCATGTTATTTTTTCCCCACTATTGCAATAACCATTTTATTCTTTCCGGTTGCTTTCCTTTTATCCTACCTGGTAATAGTTATGTATTGCTCCCTAACATGCTGTTGGTTTTCAGTCTAGACCAGTCTCCATTTACTCTTGTCTTGATAACACACGATACTAACTCGTGTGTTCCCCCAGGTGGCCAGGTGTGAAATTTTTTAAGTCAGTTAATGAATAAGCTCCTTTTCCCCCCAACCATAGTGCCACATAATATTTGTGTTAATGCTTCATCTTAGAGATTTCAGTGCTTCTTTCCAAATATTATTTCATTTGAGTGTGACAAGCATTAGGACATAGTCTGAGGTCAGTGACCTGAGGAAATACTTTTATCCAACATTCTCTACCGGGTGAATCTGAGGGTCTGAGAATGACTATCCTTATATCACTCAAACAACAGGAGACATGGCATTGCTTGTCATAACTAAGTTTTCCTATTGTTATTATATATTTCATGTTTGAATGTAATCAGAGTATTTTCTCCCCTCAGAAAACTCTCAGGAATAATGTTTCCTAGTCTAATTTATGTATATACTGTATCCTCTCCTTCTTCTTCTTCTGCATATACTGTATCTTCTTCTCCTTCTCCTCTTTTTAAGGGCTTTAAAGTTAATTTTATTGGTATACTTTTAACATACATAATGATCACATTCACCTTAGAAAATTTTTATTTGTACATAATATATCTTAATTTTTTCCCATTAACCTCTCTTTCCTTCAATCTTCTCCCCTCCATTTATAAAACTTTTCCTTTTGGGTTAGTTCAGTTTCTTGTATACAGCATACAGTTGGATGTTGTTTCTTGATCCACTCTGTAAGTCTGTTTCTTTTAATTGGTGAATTGAGGCCATTTACATTAATGGTTATAACTGGTGTATACTGGTTCATATTTGTCATGTTATCTTTCTGCTGTTGGTTCTTTACCTTTCCTCTCTCTTTATCTGCCCTGCTTAGTGGCTTTTTTATGTTGGTGTTTTTGGAGTTGTAGTTGTTTTTATATGTATCTAGAATATGTTTCAGTATTTTTTTTGCAGGGTTTGTTTGGTGGTCATGAAGATCTTCAGCTGTTCTTTGTCATGGAAGTATCTTATTTCTCCATCAGTTTTGAAGGACAGCTTTGCAGGGTACATCAGCCTGCATTGGAAGTTGTTTTCCTTTAGGATTTGAAATACTTCAGTCCATGCTCTTATTGATTTCATTGTTTGTGTTGAGAAATCTGCTATGATTCTGATGGGGTTTCCTTTATGGGTCATCTGTCTCTCTTGTCTAACAGCTTTTAATATTTTATTCTTATGTTGAATTTGTGGGATGTTGATTATTATATGCCTGGGTATAGATTTATTTTAGTTATGGCTAATTGGAGTTCTATATATTTCACTTATCTGTACATCAGTTTCCTGTTCCATGTTTGGGAAATTTTCTGCTATTAGTTCTGTAACTCATCTTGATATCATTTGTGTTGTCACCTTCTTTTTCATTTATACCTATCAATCTTATATTATTTTTCTTTGCATCATCTTGCAACTGTTGAATTTTCATTTCCTGATTCCTTGTTATTTTTAAAAGATCTTTCCTTCCTTGATCACTATCTCGACTTTTGTCTTCGAGGTCTGAGAGTCTATCTTCACATTCATTCAGGCAGTTTTGCCAGATTTTGATGGAATTTTTGACTTCATGGGTATGTTCTTGAATCTGTTTCATGCATTCTATTGCTTTCATGTATTGTTTATGCAGTTTCCATCTTTTTGCAGTGCTCCGATTTTTTAAAACTATGTCTTCTTTAGATATGTTCAGCATTTATTTGATTATGTTTATCATTTCTTCTGGGAGATTATTTCTAATCTGAGTTCCTTTACAGCTTCATGGAGTTTCTTCTTTACTTCAGTCGCTGGCATTTCAAAAGCGCCTGGTGTATGGCTTACATATTCTTCCATGTCCATTTCTCCTAGGCTTGTTTGGGATGGGCTAGAGGTTTAAAGTTGCATTTTGCTCTTTCATTTTGTCACTTTCCTTTATTCACTGGGTCCATAGTGGCAAGTAAAGACCCCCAGGTAGGGGTGTGCACTGGGTTGATCTTCAGCACTCTCCATGTGGCTCACCAAAACTCCCTGGCTGATTGAGATCACTGGGCAAGACCCTACGAGGTTCTGAGTGGTATAGTAGACTGAATGGTATGTGGAGTATACTGAGAAGCTTTCGGCTCATGGCACATGGTGCACCAAAGCTCTCTGGCTTCTTGGAGTTTCTGGGTGTGACTTTATCAGGTTTCAAGCAAAGATCCACCACCACGTAGCCCGGTATGGATTGCTGTGGCAGGTTTCCGCTCACACTTGGTGGCTCCTGGTTTTCTGGAAGTCACTGGGTGGGGCCCAGCCAAACCTGAGTGATGACCTAGAGTCTGCCACTGTTTGGGGATGGTAGGCAGGGGCCTAGCAGGTTCCAAGCAGAGTCCTATGGCTGCACAAGTAGGTAGGGATTACTGTGGCGGGCTGCAGCTCACATGCGGCAGCTCTTAGCTACCTCTAACATTTTGGATAATTACTAGTCAGTGTTAATTCTTGCAAACCTTTCTCTCCACATACTACTCCCTTCACACAATTTTCAAATTAGAAAAGATTTTTAATACCCGCTTGGGTACTTACAAGTACGAGAGTGATAGCAAACTTTCTTATAGGTAATAACACTGGAATGAAAATTATGACCTATGTTTGCCTGTAAACACACCTGACATTTTAATGAAATAGGATGCCACTATGATTTTAGCTTTAAATGTAGGTAAATGGTTAATCATTTTCATGCCTCTCATGAATGTCCTTTCTTCTGCAGAATGTTGTTCACAATTGAAATTCTCTAATTAATTTTACCTTGTTTGCTTTTTTCCCCTCTTTCTTCAGCTTTAGTAAATGTGAAACTCTGGGCCATTGATCGGCAATGTTTTCAAACAATAATGATGAGGACAGGGCTCATCAAGCATACCGAGTACATGGAATTTTTAAAAAGGTAAGGTGCATTCCTTTGTTCTTTTGAGAGCATTTATCATCCCTTTCTTGAATGTAGCAAAATGGAGAGCTTTTTCCTTTATTTAAGTTTTAATAGCTTATCATTTTGTAGAAGGGCAAGGCTTTGGCAAGCTTCATTATATTGCTTGTGCCAATTTTTAGCATATGTGTTTAAATCAGAACTTAGAAGTTTCATCATTTCAGCCATTCAGCATTCTCCCAGGAAAGTGTAGCTCAGAGAAACAATTAAGAATCTGCTTGAACAGAAAAATGTAGAGCTCATTCTACCAATTAACGCATTGATGTGTATTTACCACACCTCTTCCAAACAGACCACACTGTAGGGATGAACTATCTCTTGTGAGTTTTATACGAAAGTCAGATGACTGAACTGGAAAAGTTTCAAGGAACAGCTGATTATTCTTAATTCTGAATTTAATTTTTCAAATTAAATTCATTGTTTGTTACAGCTCTGAAATACCAAAAGCTCTTCTTTCCTTGAATCATCTATTGTCCTAATTCAATGCAGAATGAGGATCAGAATGAAAAGTCAGCTCTTTTTTTCTTAGGAATACATTGATATTCGTTGGAATGACTTTCTTTGTTTCTGTTTTTTTAAATATATAATATTGTTTAAATGACTATTGGAATTCTGATGACTTCAGAAAGCAATTTATGTCAGTTTTCTTCTGAAAACAGAAACATCAAGTATTGATGCCCATGTTATGTCAGCTAAAGGGAGTATAATCACTAAGATTCCATTGTTGAGAGCTAGAATATTAACCCAATTTTTCTTTCATATTTTTAATGTGTGTGAAACTGTTAAAAATGGAAGTAACAGGGCTGGGGATTTAACTCAGCATGATTCTTCCCCGGTACCAAAAAAGAAAGAAAGAAAGAAAGAAAGAAAGAAAGAAAGAAAGAAAGAAAGAAAGAAAGAAAGAAAGAAAGGTAACAGGCTAAACTCACATTTTGCTTTAGTTATATATCTTAACAGATATTTATTGAATTTTCTTAACATAAAATTTTAATACTCTTTATTAAAGTATTTCTTGTTAATTTTACTTCTGCTTCATCTTTTATACATTTTTTTATTTCTCACACATTAAATCTTTTTGTTATATTTCTTTTGAAATGACAGTAAAATTATAATTTGATAGCAAATAATAATATCTTACTCTGTCAGCAGGGTGTTTTTCCCTCTTAAAGTGATTGAATGAAATATTTAAAAAAGGTAGAAACAAATTTATACTTAAGTTCAGTGTAATTCAAGGAAAATTACATTACTCAGATGCCATACATGTAAATGATCCCTGAATATTACGTACTAAGAGTTGTTGTATAGTTATTAAATTATATAATACACACTTGTGAATATGTATGTGTGCTGACAAATATGCCTATAAGTGTGCTTCTATTTGTATATTGTGAGAGACACACAGGAACAGAGGCAGAGAGAATGAATATTGATTTTAAGTGTTAAAGTTGAGAGGTACTGATTTCTTCTGATTCAGCCTGATAAAGATTCCAAATGGTAAAAAATGAAATGGTTACCCATAGGTGTACTATCTGTCTCATATACCACAGCATTAGGCACCTGTAATGTTGACTTTAGCTTCCATAAATTGGTTGTGTCAGGGGAATGTACCAAATTCTAAGGCTATCTTGAATGATCCTAACAAGAACTCTTTTATGTAGCACTGTTTCTGGAAATGCCTGTGTCTAATGCACTGTGTCTGTGTGTGTGTGTGTGTGTGTGTGTGTGTGTGTGTGTGATTTTATGTGTGCGTGTTTTAACTGACTCTGGGTATACTCTTTTGGTAGAGTACAGCTGTCAAAACTGCCTTTGTGTAATGTGTCTTGACAATTCAGATGTTAATTAGAGTTACTCTCCATAATGAGTGGACATTTTTGTTGGTCAGTTTAGAGTAACGGTAAGTACAGTTTAACTGGTTGGATGGAAAAGAGGTGGGTACTGGCTGTCATGTCACTTTCCATCTGGCCATTCAAAAAACATCAAGTGTACATTGTTTATGTTACTCAGTCCATAGAGGTGACAAGTTGGCTATGATTGTGTGTTTTCATCTTTCTAAATTATGACTGTGACTAACTAGTTCTCTCTTTACAACCCCCGATGACTCACAATTCCTATTGAATTACTTATAGCTTCAAGAGCTTCCTTCAGTGAGATCCAGCCAGATTTTCCAGCTTGATTTCATCTCTCCCCACATGAGTCCAGTGATTCCTCATACCCATGAATTTCCTGTGCTTTCTTTCTACATATCTGTGCTCAATATTTTTTGTCTTTTTGATCCAATCCAAAGCTGCTTCTTCCACAGACACTGATCTTCCACTGATTAGTAGCTTCTCCTCCCTCAGATGTTTCATCTCTCCTGCAGGTTTTGTTGTATACTCTGACTATAATTCAATCACTAGTTTTATTTCTACCTCTACACCGTACACTTTACAGAGCTACAGTCATTTTTCAAGAAGCTTGGTATTCTTTGGCATATAATTTTTTGCTTTATAGACAGTTTATAAAGCAGCAAGTATGGGACCAGTACAAACTTTTCAGGGATAATAGCAAAATGACAGTGCAGAGTCCCCTTTACAAAAATTTATATATTTTACAGTGACAGTACACTATTAGCTGAACATAGGCATCTTTTGAGTACAGTATGAGCCCTATGCTATTTACAAGACATATACCCATGAAGTTGAAAGAATCACAAATATTCACTCATCTTCCAAGGTTTCTTTTTCTTTTTTTTTTTTTTTTTTTGCTACTATTTATTCTGTCAGGGTATTAAGAGATGCCATAATAATACCTAAAATAAACAATAAGAGATATTGTAAAAATTCAGGAGGCCAAATTAAACTTTTCTATTGTAACACAGAGTCATTTTTTGTTTGTTGATTTTTCTACCAGAGTTACGTATTACCCTTTCATTATCATATAATATATTAGCTTTACATAGTCATGGCTTCTTGTATTGAAAGCCTTAGCAACCTTAACGTTATAAAATATAAATTTAATATCTTACAGTTCTTTATAGAAATGTTTAATAAATAGAATTTTCATCTAAATGTTCTACTAGAGATATGTATTTTATACTTTGTGAAGGATTTAATGAGATTAAGCAATTATGACTCTCTCAGAAAAATAAATGCTAGCAAGCAATAATGCAAATCAACAAAATTTTTTCAGTGATAATCTTTGTGGTTTATCCTAATGCTTCCTTAAATGAAGAATTTCAGGGACAGCAACAGGCTAAAAGAAAAATAATCTTACGTCACAGCTTTCTGTCTATGCTATCCTTCCTTCTTATTTTCCTAAATAAACATCTATATTTGCAAGTTAGAAAAGGAAACACGTTAAGCAACTACATGTCTTGCTTATAGATAAAGATTTTGCCTTATCAAAGTTGAGTTTTATTTTGATTACAGTATGTTTTCCCATTTTGTAACTGCCAGTCATGTATGTTGGCTGCCTGTTTACTACGAAATGCCACGTCATACTATGATTCTGACTCTTTAATCCTGTTTAACAATTCCTTTTTTGTGTTTGTATATTACATTCCCTGATGTAAACACAGATATTCTTATACAAGCAGAGGAAGGAAGGAAGGAAGGAAGGAAGGAAGGAAGGAAGGAAGGAAGGAAGGAAGGAAGGAAGAAAGAAAGAAAGAAAGAAAAAAGAAAGAAAGAAAAAGGCAGTGTTTCTAAGCATACACAAATGCTATAGGTTTAGCAACAGGAATTTTGTTAGTTGCCAACATTTTCCATTATCTTTGGCTACTGAAAAAATGATGCTGTTTTTATGATGGAATTTTGAAAAACAAGTGACGTAATTGCCAGAGATTATCATTTTTATTTTCTGTAGGCATATTCTCTGGTGCAACTTTTGATAGTGAGGTCTATACCCAAAGGAACATTAAAATGTACTTCTGGGACCAATGGGATGCTTGTAAAAATTAAGATTCCTGTTTAACTAAAATGATGATGATGAAGACACTGTCAGTGGTGGACTTCTATTTATATTACTTGATTCACTGAAAAATCCAAGGCATAATAAGAACTAGAAATTTAAGCTACTCAGTGGTTCCTTGGAAAAACTTTTTGTTGCCCACTATCAGCATTTTGTAAGGCTGACAATGCTAGTGCAATCCCTTCTGCATCAAACATGACTCCGAAGAAAGCCTTTAACATTGTTGTCCAAGCCTGCTGGTCCAAGATACTGCCAACTTCCCCAGCTTATCTCACTGTCTTATTTCTCAGTGTCTTATTCTTTGTTGCTTGTGTGGTGGTCTTTCATTTCCTCATACGCCCCATTCTTCCTCTCAGTACAGATTATAACAATAGATTCCTCTAAACTGGAGGGAAGTTTCCCACAGTGACCCACGGAGCAACACACTGCTTTCTTCACACTGAGTATGGCTGCTATGGCAGAAAACAGAACCCTGCATCTCTCAAAACACTTTTCAGTTCTTGATTTGCTTTTCTTCAGCTGAAAGGGGAATTAATAGATTTTGCCATAGTTATACATTATGTCCTTTCATGTTACATGGCATCCTTGTTAACAATAAACAAAACAACTCTAGATTTTGTATGACTCTTTCTTCTTCCTTATTTGCATCACAGTGATTGAGCCTCACGTTCAGTTGATTTTTCCTCCTTATTCTCTAAAAAAAGATGTGTATATGTGTCTAATTAAATATGCTATTTACATGTGCATATTGGAAAAGTGACTTGCTAGGAAAAAAAGTATGACCTTGTTATTGAAATTTCAAACTATAATTGGATACAAGAATGGCCTTGACTCTGAGGGTATAAAGTCAGAAGAGAGAACCCTCAAATTCTATCTAAGGTTCATAACTAAACCAAAGTCTTCTGTGCTTCTCTTTGATTGTTCTCCATTGTTGTCCTTTGATGATTTTAGTCATACCAACCACTGACAGAGGATACATCTACATCTCTGATGTGATATAGTGACTAGGATTA